ACACGGCATAACGGCAAACCCTGGAGACCCCGACTGCCCCCGTCTGGCGTGTCTGTTACTGAGACGTGAGTGTATCAACGAGGAAAGTTCCCCAGCATGACGCTGAGTGAAGAAAATAAGATAAAATCCCAGAAAGGTCAGTATAACGTGTACGTACGTCTATTACGGCTCAGAAGGACTGACACCGATGCGTGCACGGCACGTGCCCCTCGCTGATGAGTGAGCGTCTCCCAGCCTCGCCCTCAGGACGCTGCGGGGCACTGAGTGGCCGCACAGACTAAGCCGCCTCCGCCCAAGCGCAGCCCCGACTCCTCCTCTGCTGCGGAGCCCGAAGGCCCCGGCTCATGACAGAGGTCAGAGGTCACAGTCACGCGGCCGCCCCTGTGGACACAGCTGCCTTCTCCGCCTTGGCCACCCATGCCCATCAGGGCCACTGACCGATCCAGAGGCGAACACCCGCCCCGGACCCCACTCAGGAGCTGTCAGTGGTCCCGGCCCAAGTCCAGGCCAGGCTACCCCTCCACCCCCCACCCCGCCCGCAGCACAACACGGAAAAGGCCGGGAAGCCGGCTGAGCCCTTTGCTCCCGGTCACGGTCAGTCCCAGGCCCGGAGATCATTCCCACCATGTGCTGCGACGTGTTTCCGCCCCATCTCCACACCTTCCTGTCTGTCTGTCCTTTAACTTTAATTTGGACGGAAACTACATCATGAGAAACTTTCCGTCAGCTCCTGATGGGTCCGTGTGGCCCCATAATTCCCGACTCTCTCCTGCCTCCTCCTGAGAGAAATCCAAGTGGAAATCTCTCCTCTGTTCCATTCCGTTCTTTCACCCCATCTTTCCATCAAAGCTCCGTCACGTGTTACTTTAGCTGTAAATGCCGTCACATTAGAAAATCTGAAGCTGGTTGGAGGCAACGGGCCAGACCAACTGGAAAATCCAAAGGCCTGGATTTCCACGGAACACAGTTCCCTAGACCTGATCGATACGCTAATCAATCATTGGCCTCCATTAGGGGTGAGTGACCGCAGCACTACAGAGAAACCATTCACTCCTCTCGGAAGTAAAAATAAACAGGATTTCACCTGCTTTGCAGCAGAATTCTTTCCTAAAAAGAGTGCTTGCTGAAGACGCCATTTGAACGGACAAACACGCGTCAGCAGGACGCACGGCCAGCAGAGGGGAGAGCTGCCAGCAGCCTGTCCTTTCCAGAGAGAAGAAACCCTGTCCTCCCAGTACAGCTCCCCAGGGGCCCGCCAGCCTTCGCCGGCTTATTCATATGCTGAGAATGTTCTGGTCCGTGTTCAGGTTTCCTGGACACAAAACAAGAAGAAAAACTGTTTCAGTTCAGTCTCTTGTAAGAGCCGTCTGTCTTCTCAGCAAAACAAAAGGGCTGATGCGATGAGAGACCTGCAGCCCCGGCCACGGGACCTGCCCCTTGCTTAGATAACGTTCCACGGACAATGCTGACTCTAGGTCAGTGGTTGGCAAACCGCGGCTCGCGAGCCACATGCGGCTCTTTGGCCCCTTCAGTGTGGCTCTTCCACAAAATACCGGCTCTTCCACAAAATACCGACTTCTGCGCATGGGCCACGAAGTTTCAATCGCACTGTACGTGCGCGCCCACACGTGGTATTTTGTGGAAGAGCCACACTCAAGGGGCCAAAGAGCCGCATGTGGCTTGGGAGCCGCGGTTTGCCGACCACGGCTCTAGGTTGTTTTAAAAGAAATACTAATTTTACTCCAGAAGATGCCTTCATACGTCTTACTAGAGGTTTCTATGTACTTTTACAGTCAACGACAGGAAACACAATGGAACAGTGAAAACAAGCCCCGCCTCCTTGACCAGAAAGTTGTAACACTGGGTGTCACCTCCTATGTCTACACTCGACCCTGACTAACCTGGTACGGACGATACGTCCAGACAGAATGCTGAGCTTCTGAAATATTTATTTCCTACATGTGGTCTCTGACGGTAACAGCGATGGAGCTGGTGAGTTCTAGATGTTTCACAAACATCACCCCCATTACTTGCCGATTTGGCACGGGAGTCTCCTCTCTCTCAGAGCAAGTCTCATGGGCACGCCCACAGCTCACACAGGAAGAGACGGGGGCCCGGCCGCCTGGCTCAGTGACTGAGTGTTGGTCTCTGAACCAGGAGGTCACAGTTCAATTCCCGGTCAGAGCACAGGCCCGGGTTGCAGCTCGGTCCCCAGTAGGGGCTGTGCAGGAGGCAGCTGATCAATGACTCCCTCTCATCATGGATGTTGCTCTCTCTCTCTCCCTCTCCCTCCCTGAGATCAATAAAAATATATATTTTCTTTAAAATAAAGAAGAGGCCATAACCGGTTTGGCTCAGCGGATGGAGCGTAGGCCTGCAGACTGAAGAGTCCCAGGTTCGATTCCGGTCAGGGGCATGTACCTAGGTTGTGGGCACATCCCCAGTAGGGAGATGTGCAGGAGGCAGCTGATCGATGTTTCTCTCTCATTGATGTTTCTGACTCTCTATCTCTCTCCCTTCCTCTCTGTAGAAAATCAATAAAATGTATTTTTAAAAATAAATAAATAAATAAATAAATAAATAAAGTAAAGAAGAGACAGGGCAGATTTTAGACCCATTGCCCGAACCCCAAGCCCATGCTCTAGCCACCAAACCACACAGCCTAGGGCCCTTCCTGGTAAGATGTCAGCCACAGAACAGCACGTGTGAGTAACAGAAGAGACCAGGGCTCCACCCGACGACCACACGTGAGCCCCGCCTCCCTCCGCACCCCAAGGCCCCTCATCCCCCAGGCCTTCCCTCTCCAGCCTCACCCAGGAGTCACCCAGCTTTTAAAGTGCCTACAAGTGTCTGACTGCCCCCTTTTTAGGGCAAAGAGAACTGCTCCTTGGTAATTACTGAGGATGGTTAATTAAGTGCCTTGGTTGCCTTGTAGATTTAAAACTTGTTTTTAAAAGTCAGAGGCCCTGGGGCAGTGCTTTGAGGAGAAAAGGGGTCCTGTTTGGGGTAAGGGCTCTGAATTCACTGTGAAGTGGCAGGAAAGGAGGTGAGAGGGGCGGGGGGGGGGGGGGGTGAGAGGCAGGAGACCATGTCCTGGCCCAGGAAGTGAGAGAGCCAAGTGCTAATGGGAGACAAAAATAGAGGCAGGCAGGGAAAGAAGCAAAAAAGCAGAAAAGGGAGAGAAAACGAGGCTCACAGTGCTCAGGGGTGAGAACTGCACGTGGGCATATTCACATCATGGCTCCTTCCACAGCCGTGTTCACACAGCACCCTACACGCCCCTCGAACACACACCGTTACCACCTGTGGTCTCCTTGCCTTGTCCACTCGGGTGTTCTCTGCCATCGGTGATCGAGTTTTGTTTTAAAAAAAATAAATGGCCCGGCTGGTGTGGCTCAGTGGTTGAGCATCAACCTATGAACCAGGAGGTCCCGGTTCGGTTCTTGGTCAGGGCACAGGCCCAGGTTGTGGGTTTGATCCCCAGTGTGGGGCGTGTAGGAGGCAGCAGATCAGCGATTCTCTCTCATCACTGATGTTTCTCTCTCTCTCTCTTCCTCTCTGAAATCAATAAAAATACATTTTTTAAAAGGGCCGGGAAATATGGTTTCACCGAGTGGAGAGATGAGACCATTAATCCCGAAAGCCTGGCGCAGTCCTGGTGATGAAAGTAACAATTAAAAGGCAGATTTCAGCTGCTGTCACCTGAAAGTTCTCTTTTGACCCCAAAACCGTTTAGGGACCCAAGGTGCAGCCTGGCTTCATTCAGCAGGTGGGGGGGTGGGGCACAGGTGTTCACAAGCCTCCTTGGAAGTTAGGAACCACCAGGGAGGCCTCACCTGCTGAGGTGCCTGCGGTTTGTCCTCAGGCCTGGCTGGGGTCCGGCTGCCTCACAGTCACGAGCGCTCATGACAGTTATTGGCTTCATCTCCGTCCGCAGCCCGTCCTCAGGGACCAGTGAGCCAGGTGCAGAGTTCCCAGCTCGGCCGCCAACAGCTCTGAACAGAGGGTCCTTCAGGTGTCAGGTACCCCCAGGTCAGACATCAGGAAACCTGAACATGACCCCAGGCAAAGGCCCCGGTGCATCAACAGACACTGGCTGTGCCTCGAGGGCCATTCTGCAGACGCCGTGAAAGAGCCGAAGGCTGGAGGGACTGACCCAGGCGCCCACCAGGCCACCAGTCCGTTCAGGGGCTGGCCTGGCAGGAGAGGTCATGCTCACGCCACGCTTGCCGATTTCACATCACACGTGCACAGTAGCAGGAACACCTCACACGCGAAGAAAACACAAAAACAGCTCTGGCTGGTGTTGCTCGGTGGATAGAGCAGCGGCCTGCAGACTGAAGGGTCCCAGGTTCGATTCCGGTCAAGGGCACATGCCAGGGTTGCAGGCTCGATCCCCAGTGTGGGGTGTGCAGGAGGCAGCCGATCCATGATTCTCTCTCATCATTGATGTTCCTCTCTCCCTCTCCCTTTTTCTCTGAAATCAATAAAAAATATATTTTTAAATAAATACAATAAAATAAAACATCCCTGGGGCACTCACCCCAGAGATAAGCCAGGGCTCAGAGCGGGAGCCCGGGGTGGAGGCCGGGCGTCTCTCCCGGCTTCCCGCTGTCAGCGAAGGCCAGCCGGCGGGCAGGGCCACACACGTAACCTGCTATCGGCTCAGGTTTCTAAAGGCTCTAACTTCCAGCAAAGCTAACAAGTGAACTGAAACGATACAGTTTAGGAATAATATTTCTTTACTGGAAAAAAACTAAGTATAAGAACTGCTAACACCGGCCCATGTTGAATCTTCAATTATTCTCCAAATTGCTCTGCTCTAGAAACGTCCTGGAGGAGAAAGCACAGGGAGCGGGGCCTTCGCTCTCGCTCGCGTGTAAATGAGGTGAACATGAAGTCTTCGCTCCTGGGAAAGACACAGAACCCACAGGAGGCCGCGCAGCACCCCCCCCCCTCGCTCAGGGGCCAGCCGCCAGCCTCCAGGCAGCCCCTGCAGGTCAGGTCGGGGAGGGCACCGTTTCCTCGCACCCTCGCCCACCTGCACACACTCGGAACCCCGCACTCCCTCAGGCCCAGGTGAGCGGACCTTGTGCTCAGACACGGTCGGCAGGTACTGAAGAACTGCCTGCTCCCCGGACCCCCGTCACCAAAGAAAACGCCCGTGGGCCCAGAACCTGCTGTCGTGGACCCACAGACTCCGCTTCCACTAAAGGCCCGTTAATGCCTCCAAACAGACCCTCCCAAGCAGCCAGGAGCTCCTTCCTGACGCTGACGATGCTCCTCATCCCAGCACTTCCAGTCACCATTTCCCAGGTGAATACTGCAAAGCCCACTTTAAACACATATTTGTATTGATGTCAGAGAGGAAGGGAGAGGGAGAGGGAGAGAGAAACATCAATGATGAGAGAGAATCGCGGACCAGCTGCCTCCTGCATGCCCCACACTGGGGATGGAGCCTGCAACCCGGGCCTGTGCCCTGACCAGGAATCGAACCGTGACCTCCTGGTTCGTAGTTCAAATCTCAACCCCTGAGCCAGCCGGCCGGGCCAAAGCACACTTTTTACCAACAGCAGACGGAAAAGCTGATATCCATCTCCCCCCTCAGACGGTGTGGACAAAGGAAATGTTAAGACACGTTACACTCAGCCAAGAGGATGGACGACGACAGTCCTGCAGTGAACCCAGTCAGACAGCGGCGAGTGAGCATCCCACGTCTGCTGCTGTGGGGGAAGAGCTTGTGTCAGGAAAGCATCTGTTAGTTTCTGTTCAGTCACACTGAGCACACGGAGAACCCGCCACTCAAACACGCGGGACCAGAAGTCCACACGGTGGTGTGTGTGTGTGTGTGTGTGTGTGTGTGTCTGTCTGTCTGTCTGTCACCCTGTGAGCAACACCAAGAAACAGGTCCCTTTGGTTATGAAAACCCCGGAAAGAAATCATAACCACCCTGTCTGGGAAGGGCCTTTACAACACGACCACGTCAGATAGGACAATCGATCTCTAACCCCACTTCTCCTATTGATTCTCAAATTCCTTCAACAACAACAGCAAGAAAGCAAATAAACGCTTTCATGGATGGGAGATTTCAATCAGGTTTGTGTAAATCAAATTATTTGAATTCCATTAAAAGTAGGCAGTAATAATATATATCAAAAATCATTATTTGAAACTAAATTTGGTGAGGTAGGTTTCAGGTATTTAGAATATGAAAAAAAAATTTTAACTTCAAAGGTGTGACACTTGGCCCAACAATTCCGCTCCTCCGAAATCGCCTCCAATTGCACTCGAGAACATGTGTGCAGCCCAGCCCATGTGGCTCAGTGGTTGAGCATCCACCCATGAACCAGGAGGTCAGGGTTTGAGTCTAGTCAGGTCACATGCCCAGGTTGCAGACTCGATCCCCAGTGTGGGGCGTGCAGGAGGCAGCCCATCAATGATTCTCTCTCATCATTGATGTTTCTATCTCTCTCTCCCTCTCTCTTCCTCTCTGAAATCAATAATATATATGTATATATATATATATTTTTTTTAAGAAGATATGTCAACACAAAGATCTGTACAAGAATGCAGCAGCTCCAGGTACAAACACTAAAACAGGAAGCAACCCACATATCCATCCCCAGAAGCCGTGACCAACCAAGCGTGGTCATTCCTATAATGAAATACGATTCAGCAGGAAAAAGAAAAACTACTGGACAAGCCACAGCAGGGGGACCCACGGAAAGCAGACTGGGCGGAAGAAGCTACACACACGCAGAGTCCGTGCTTCGTGACTCCACGGGAGGAGCGGAAATTCAACGCTCACCTATCGGGAAAACCGTGGGAGGGGTGGGCCCTGGGAACGGGGAGGCCCTGCCTGGGAAGGGGCCCCGCGGGACGGCGAGGGGATGTGCAGGCTCCGTGTCTCCATGGGGGGTGGCCACGGGCGGACACCCATCGGTCAGACAGCACGCCGAGGGGTGCACATGTCCGTGTATTTTACCTCAAAGGGAAAGAAGAACCCGCGATGGGGGGATGGGGGGAGGTGTGGGCACAGAATTCACAGCTGAAGGTGATCTTCATCCAGGCTGTGATGCGTATGGGTTTTTTATTTATTTATCTTCATTGTTGAAAGATGTCCCCTTTACCCCCCCATTGCCTCCTCCACCCCACTCCCGTCCCCTCCCCAGGCCTCCATCCCACTATTGGCTGTGTCCATGGTTATGCATCTATGCATACAAGTTCTCTGGTTAATCTCCTTTTAGATACTATTTTATTTGCTTCCTGTATTTTTGACATTTTCCAACATAAAAATATGTATCGGTGAAATGTACAATCAAAACACGTTTATACCATAAAAATACGCTTTCCCATATGGTCTAATTAGCATATTGCCCTTTTATTAGTATAGATGAGAACATGTAAATTTACTGTTTTTAAATCCTGATTTTTCTAAATCTCATATTCAACTTTTACTTTTTGCTTTTTTATTTTATTTTAATCCTCACCCAACTGCATTGATTTCAGAGAGAGAGGAAGGGAGTGGGAGGGAGGGAAGGAGACACATCGATGTGAGAGAGAAACATCCATTCACTGCCTCGCATACGCGCCCCAACTGGGAACCGAACCAGTGACCTTTCGGCACACAGGACGATGCCAAACGAGGGGCCGCATTGGCCGGGACACACTCACCCCTTTTTAACCCTCATTCTCCTTTCTCGCAAACAGAGAGACGTTCAGTCTCTGAATCATAAAACCCAGAGAGCACGAACCAAGGCCCATGGCTAGTTTCTCTGCTATCTGCTCAGCACACACCACTCACTGCATGTGTCTTCATCATTTTCTAGATTTTTCCTGAGAAAAGTCCTTTCCTTTTCCACATACCACGTCCTGAGAATGAGAACACCATACAGAGGCAAAGAAGAGCCGCAGCTCAGCCGCAGCTATTTAAAGACACGCTAATGCCTGCGAGGCCGTAAGAGGGTTGTCGGTGCACACGGCGACAGAATTTCCTGGAGAGAACCCAGTCACTGGACTCTGGTGTTGGCATCCATCAGTCGGCTACGGTCAGCATAAGACAAACACTGAAATCAGCTAATATTAAAAATCCAAAATTTATATATATTTATAACCTCTGCCACAAATACTTCTACCTAACGTTTCTTCACCTTGCATATATCGCCTGCTGAATTCCAAGAAGAATTTCACAACAGGTTACATCAGTGAAAGGGATCCTGATGCCAGCATTTTTTAAAATATATTTTTATTGATTTCAGAGAGGAAGGGAGAGGGAGAGAGAAACATCAGTGATGAGAGAGAATCATTGATTGGCTTCCTCCTGCATGCCCCACACTGGCGATCAAGCCTGCAAATTGGGCATGTGCCCTGACCGAGAATCGAACCATGACCTCCTGGTTCATAGGTCGAAGCTCAGCCACTGAGCCACGCTGGTTGGGCCTGATGCCAGCATTTTTGTTCGTCCACTCATCCATCCATTCATTCAACAAACCCATGCTGGCCTAGGCACACCAGGTGCTCTTTCAGGTATTAGAGACATGCAGAACAACCTATATATATAAAAGGCTACGATGCAGTGTCCCCTCTGGAGTTTGACGGGGAGACCGGGACTTCGATTGCTCGCTATGACATGCGCTGACCACCAGGGGGTGGTGCAGAACGAAGGGAGGAAGGCCCCAGCCGGCAGCCGGCAGCCAGAAGGCCCTGATCGCCCTGATCGCTGGCCAGGCCTAGGGACCCCACCCGAGCACGAATGTCGTGCACCGGGCCTCTGGTTTAATATCACAGTGAACGGAACAAAGGCGATGCTGCCACAGAGCTTCCGATCCAGGAAGGGAGACGGGCTTCTAGGAGCCGGGGACACTGCGTGCCGTGGGGAATCACTACAGAGGGTGGTCTCCTACGCTGGTCGGGAAAGCTCCCCCGCCCTGGAGCACGGCTCGGTTCCTGGGTGTCATCCAAGCACCGAAAGGCTGCTGGGTCGGCTCTGGTCAGGGCACCGGCTCAGCTGCAGGCTGGACCCCCAGTGGGAGACACACAGAGAAAGCCTATCTATCTCTCTCTCTCTCTCCCCCCAAAAATTAATAAAAAATAAAATAAATAAAAAAGGGCTTCCCTGTTATAGTGACACCTGAGCAAACCCAAGGGATCGGAAGTTCCAGGATTCCAGGCAAAAAAGGCAAATGCAAAGGCCCCCATGCCCCAGCCACCTGC